AGCATATTATTTCTAAATACTGAATAATTAATAAATCTATATCTGGATTTCTTTTGCATTCATACTTACAAACATGTTAAGCTGCTAGTGTTATTATGCGTTGTTATTGTTGTTGTTAGTATTCTTAAGCAGATTGCTGCTTTTCTGTAAATGAAATTAAGCAGGGGGGCTCAAATGATTTCTTGTAGTTAAGGCCTGGCCCATCAGGATGTCCATTCAGCCCACAGCCAGCTTTCTGCCCTCCTTCCCTACCTGCCGTGAGGCAAGAGCAGGCAGATGGTGGGCTGAAGGCCAGAAGGACTGTTCTGGGAAAGAGCTGCCATCAAGTCTCTGGTCTGTTCTTTCGTGCATTACCCACCTCTGCTCAGTTTTGTGAGAGAGCCTTGGGCGTGCAGCTCCCAGAAGGATGAATGCCAAGAGCAGGCTGCAGAAATTACTCTCTAAAGGCTGCAATTAATTTGATACATTTGTTGTATTCCAGACTCATGTGAAACGTGGTGATCACATGAAGGGAGCACGTATGCTGATACGGGTAGCCAACAACATCAGCAAGTTCCCATCACGTAAGTGCTGTGCTCTACAGGACAATTCATTAATCATCCCATTAGATGGTACATTCTCCTCCAATGATCCTATAGGGCACAAGACAAAGTGTAAATACAGAACATGCTCTGCCGTCCTCTGATGGACAGCACTTTGATACATGGCCTCCAGGATGGGTTCCTCACCAGCAGCTCCATCTGCACTCACCCAACAGAACTGCAGAACTGAGCTGCCTGAACCACACACACAGCCTGGGGATCGTATGCAATTTACTGATGGGTTCTGTGACTTTATCACAAAATATTAATCATTCAGTCTTTTTTTGAATATACCTTTTGGGTACATGGCAAATGTAGACCAAAATGTAGACTCTAAATGGTGCAGACCAGGCTTAGGAGAAATGGTTAGAATCAAAACATTCCTGCTGCCATGTTGAGCTTCAGAAATGCAAGGCAGTGAGAGGTAGAACCATGATTTTCTTGTCCAGGGTTACAGGAATTGCACAGGTTGCACAACTGTGTATCATCAGAAAAGAAAAATATCGTCATTTTTCATCAGTACCTTTCTAGCTCAAAATTTAGCTCAAAAGTTTTCAACATTAATATTGGTGAATAAATATTTGATGACATTGTTTCATTCTCTTACAGACATTGTGCCAATTTTGACTTCAACTGTAATCGAGTGTCACAGAGCAGGATTGAAGAACTCAGCCTTCAGCTTTGCTGCCATGTTGATGAGACCCGAGTATCGTAATAAGATAGATCTTAAATACAAAAAGAAAATTGAAGCAATGGTCAGGTAAGCACTGTTAATCTGTACTTTCAAATGTACACAATATCAAGGCTTTATTTGTAATGTTATTTTTGCTCAGAAAGCCTATGGGCCTTATCCCATTTTCATATTATTTCACCACCTCAAATTTGGAAGGCTGAGAACCACTTCCCCCCTTCTCTGAAAACTGAAGCCTCTTCTGTTCCCTTAGATGAGATAAAACCTTCACTGCAATGAAATGCTTCCTAACCAGCAGTAGCATTTTCTATCTCGTCCATACAGACTGAGTGCAGCCTCACAGCTTTAGTTGTTCTCTAGTTAGGAATGTGCGTGTAAAATTGTTCGCTACTACAGCATCAGTGGCATCCTCCTCTTCTGTGATTTAGGCTATTGAGTAAATGGCTAAAGAGGGAAAAAAAAGAATGGAAAAAAAAAAAAAAAAAGATTAATTATTGACGTTTTCTTCCTTATCTGAAGTTCTGTTTTGACAGACCCTAGACAGTATTTTCTGCCAAAGCAGGATGCGTAGGTGAGCATGTAAGAGCAGGGCAAGCATATGTAATGCTTTTCTTATTTATTCTAATAGGCTTTAACCTTTTTGAGGCTGAGGGGCTTGCTGATCCCCTGTGAGTGCTTTAGGTATTTATTAAGTCTCTAAGTTCTCCATGAGCTTATCCAATCTCTCTGCTTGAAGCCATGTAAATTCTTAGCAGGATCTGTTTTGTTTCCCCTCCTATTATGTCCAAGTGATAAATTGGTCTTTCAGTTAAGGCTGTGTGAAAAACTGATTTGTCAATTGTAGCCTGACCAAAAAATTGGAAAATTACTCACTTCAATTAAAATATGCAATGATTTTAATGGCAAAAGAGGGAAAAAAAAGAATGAAAAAAAAAAAAAAAAAGATTAATTATTGACGTTTTCTTCCTTATCTGAAGTTCTGTTTTGACAGACCCTAGACAGTATTTTCTGCCAAAGCAGGATGCGTAGGTGAGCATGTAAGAGCAGGGCAAGCATATGTAATGCTTTTCTTATTTATTCTAATAGGCTTTAACCTTTTTGAGGCTGAGGGGCTTGCTGATCCCCTGTGAGTGCTTTAGGTATTTATTAAGTCTCTAAGTTCTCCATGAGCTTATCCAATCTCTCTGCTTGAAGCCATGTAAATTCTTAGCAGGATCTGACTCCTGTGAGAAGCAGTAGCACCGTGTGAAGCCGCTCCCTAGCTACTTTAGTGCAGTGCCTTCTAGTTTTCCTCTTGGAGACATCTAGCCTTTTGTGTGCTACTTGAGATTTTATAGACCTTTAACTGTTTCTTATTTCCCTTCTATCAGTCAAAGCTTTTCAGGACCTCAAGTGTCTCCCCTTATGTAGCTGTTCTTTTATGGATAATGATCCTTTGGGACCTTATCTGAAACTCACAAGTCTTTTGGAGGAGGCAGGACCAAAACTACATGCTGCATTTAAGATGCAGACAACCCATAGATTGATAAAGTAGCAGAATGAGTTGCTGTTCCAGCCTACTTGATTTGCTTTGATTGTTTTTAAAGAAAGAACTGTTGTTTTCATAGCACAGATTATAATTGCAAGATCCTAAGCAACAGCAGTTCATAGTCCACCATCTTGTATGTGGAAACTTCTTTCCACTAGGCCTTGCTTTGGCTTCCCCCCAACCTTGTATTTTTTTGTCACTGGGTCTCAAAGTTCTTCCAGAATTCTGTGAAGCTGGCTCAGGCCTGTTTCACTCTGAATATTACACACAAGCTGTGACATTGCATTGTTTTCCCTTATGAGTGTGCAGAACAGCAGTAGGTTACCACAGATGTGGACTGTGACAACTGTTTATCCTGTTCTGTTCGGTATCTTTTAACCACTTTTTTTTTGAAGTCGTGCAAAGTTCTTATCTATTGCCAGCTTATTAATATTTCTAGAACATTCCAGGAACTTCTAAAATATGACATCACTGTTAAAAGTGATGTTGATGCATTCCTAATCTAGCATGTTTATTCATACCTCAGATTTCTTGAGACAAAGGAACAGGCCCTTGCAAGGGAAACGTACGTGCCTAGGCCAGTAAACTGAGAAATTAGGCTACGTACTGAAATAACTCTGGAAGCCATCTAATTGTCTCCACGGTTCCTAGGTTAAACATGAGAAAAGATGCGTCCTTTATCACTGGAAAATATGCTAAAAGTGAATCTAAGCTCTTCACCTAGAGATGTTCCACGGAAGATTAAATGTTAAGGTCACATAAGAAATCTGAAAAAAGGTCTCCTCCCCTCTCCATAGGTGCTGTGATGGCTGGATGAGGACCACCATTCTGACCCACACTTGGGTGAAAACAAGCCTGCAAAAGGCAGAGTTAGAAGCTGTATAATCCTACCAGGATGCCAATTTATGTCTTGTTGCTTTATTTCTTACTGGTCACTCCTATGACAGAAAAACACTGGACCAGAGAAACCATAGCTTTATGTTCTATACATACAGATTATGAGCTTTGAAAGATTTTAAAGTATTATGATCTGTTATACTTTTAGAAAGGTTGTATTGTTTGTAATTAGATGGAAAAATAACCTATTTCTGAGTTTACAAAGTTGTGATGAAGCTTGGTTGATAGTTAAAAGGAAACATCTGGTAGAATACAAAATAGCAACTGGAAGCTATGCAAATAACTCACAGAAAAAACACGTGCTAAATAGCAAAGGCATTGTAAAACATCTTTGTTCAAGTTCAAAGTGCTTGAGGTTTTTATTCACATTTGTATCTTACTTCTTGTAGACGTCCAGACACAACAGAGGCAGAGGAGCCAACAACAGCCTGTCCCTATTGCGCGTTCCAGCTCCCGGAGTGTGAACTTCTGTGTCCCGGCTGCAAGAACAACCTCCCCTACTGCATCGCAACTGTAAGTGTCTCCCCTGCTTTCTGCACTCTCAGAAGCAACACAAAGCTTTTCTTTCCTTCTGAAAATAAGTAAGTTCATCTGAACATCTTTTGTTTGCTCTTCAAGATTCTGGTAGATTCAAGCTAGATAGTTTTGTGGGTTTGTTCGTTGGGAGTTTTTTTTCTAGGCCGTTACCAAATTGGTAAAAACCATTCTTGTTGTCCTTAACTATCATAGAGTGTCCTTCATTGCCACCCACAGCAGCATTTGGTGCAGCTGCTGCACTTGGGAGAAGGCACAGACAGGATTGCGCTGCTGGTGCCTTCCCAGCCCTCTGCTCAGGGCTCAGAGCAGTAACTGCAGAGCTGTTAGTGCCCCCCCTCTTCCACACACAGGAGCTTCTCTCCTCCCATAAACTCCAGGCTGCCAAGACTTCAAATAAAATTTAAAAAACCCACCACTAGGGGACTGCCTAGAATTTAACAGAATTTGTAGACACATCCAGGGTTAAGTAATGGTTCAGCCACTGACCTCAGCATTTTATATTGCTGAGTCTTACAGAAATGAGAAGTTCTAACATTTTTTGTCTTGGGATAGTTTAGAATGTACTTTAAATTTTAGCTGAAAAGGTATGGATGGGATACATTTCCCAGGGGAAGAGCCCTGCACCCCCTTGTTCCCAGCATCAGTACAAAATCCTAATACTAAGGTTAGCTGCTCTGTAATTAACACTTTATTTTTACTAGGTTTGAGTGATTTATCACACTAGAACTACAGAAAAATCAAAATTAACTTGAGCAGGAATCAAATGTTGGAGTTAACATTCTTTATTAAAACTAAAGAATTAAGTCTTACAAAAATAATAATAGCCATTATCTATTTATTTCCTCTATTGGTTTAGCAGAATAAGATGACTGGTATACTTTACAAGTACTATCTTAACAAAAAAACCCAAGACTTAAATACAGCTTTATGGGCCAAATGTAAAGTACAGATTCATGTATATTTCAAGTTATTTACTTAGGCTCTGTCTTGGTTATAGTTCATTTACATCACAGGTATTTGTAACATCATTAGAAATGCAGCATTTTCAAATATTTTAGGAGTCAGTGTCAAAACAGTCTACTGTTGCACATCTATTAGAACATAAAATCCTCAATAGAGTTCAAAGTGCTGTTGCATTTTATAGCAGTGAAAAGGTACATCTGAATTCTCTGTATCAAAAGCAAATTAGTAAAACCACACCAAAACAGAGGAAATAATTTCTGTTGGAAGAGGCAAAGGGCAGGGCAGTCACTGCCCTCACAGCCTGGGCAGCCCTGAATGCCACCTCCCGGTGGTGTGGCTTTGGGGGCATTTTTTTTGAATGTTGTATGCAACACCAAAACTCCCAATAGATTTAGTCTAGACATAGACCTACAGATAACATTCTAGAACTGCCAAACTAAAAGAATTTTAGAAGTTGTAATTCAATACATTTTTTTAAAAGAGGAATGACAATGAAAACAGCATATCTCCCCGAGAGCTCCTTTTCTACTTACAGAATTGACACAGTAATCAGAGTACAGTAACACTGTTGTGTGCTTGGTTTTTTTAATTCAGAATCTTTGGACATTTTCCACAGTGACAGGTATAAAGCTCAGTGCCCAGGGGCCTAGGGCAGCACTTGCCATTTAATTACTTGTGGTTTTTGCATGCAGGGCCGGCACATGCTACGAGACGACTGGACAGTCTGCCCACACTGTGACTTTCCTGCCCTCTATTCAGAATTCAAAAAGTAAGTTGGGATTTGTTTTCTGTTGCAGGATTCCAATGTTTGTTCATACTTTAGCAGCAAAATGTTTGATTTGGTACTAAAAACATGTAACAGCTCAGGAAGGGGAGGATACAGAAGAGGAGTATCCCTTACTTGGTAGTTTCATCTAATGTACTCACAGAACATCACTCTTCAATGCATACGATAAATAATTATCTCAGCAGGAGATGCAGGGCTCCAGCAGGAGCAGTAACAAAGATGGATGGGAGGGGGCTTTTGTGAGTTCTCTGCACCTTCCCAGAAGGTGGCCTGATAGAGGGGCAGGGGCAACACAGGTACAGCAGCAGCCACCAAAACAAACCACACAGCTTACTGGGTGTTAGTGACTTTTGTCCCCAGTAATCATGTGTGTGCGACTGGGACAGGATAGCTCTGGTCAGATGTCAGGAACTATGAAGCTGCAGAAACTTCATGTTCTACCCCAAGCTCCTCTGCATATGTTTTAATTGCCAAATTTTCCGCCTGCCCACGCAAACAGCAGCAGTGTTCCTGTTGGGATGTTCTCAAATGTTAAAACCGAACAAACCAAACTTGGCTGCACCCAGACTTAAACTGGTCTGTGTGTGTTACACAGCATAGGTCAGGACACACTCTATGCCCTCTGCCTCAGGCCCAGCTGATCATCTGAAAATGTTAGAATTCTATCATTTGACCTGTCACCCTTCTTTTAAAACAGCATGTTACAGACCGAAAACATATGTCCAATGTGTTCTGAAAGGATTAACATTGTTGATCTTAAGAAAATAAACGACTGCACGCAGTACCTCACACCAGAAGATGGGGACCAATAAATTCAGGTACGTGCTACAGCCTGTTTGGTTGTTTTTTCTTTTCCACTTAGCAGGGCTCATTCTAGAGGACACAGAGCTTCTTTCCCAGCAAGGGAAATGCAGTGTTCAAGAATCCAACTCTGGGTCTGTGCCTCAGGTAACCAAGACCCAGCTGTATTGCCTATTTGCCCTCAGCCATTACCTCTGTAATCACATTTACCATCTGCAACGTGTTCTGGTTTGGAACATGTTCCCGAATCCCAGTTCTCAGCATCAACAAATCCTTCTAAAGATCTAAGCCAGGAAGGCAGAGCGGTGTGCTCGCTGCAAGGAACAGATCTACAATGCAGGTTACATGATCTTAGCTTCTGTGTTTAACAGAATGTAGAATATCACACAGGAAAACAGCAACAGAATATTGGCTTGAAATACACCTATTTCAAAGAATAAGACAACTGCTCTGTCTGTACCACACACTTAGATTCAAGACTTCAGTTTGGTTAAAAGAATGTAACAGAAAATGAGTTAATCTAGTTCTTCATTAATTCTGACAGCTGAAGGTAGGTTTACTAGTGCAAATACCTTATGTGAAAAGCTAGCTATAGATCAAAGTAATGCACAAGTGATACTGTAAGCTATATACACCACAATAACCTTATTTTTGTTAATTTTTCTTCCAGTCTGAGAGCCTTGCAGTTTGCTATCACAGTCTGTATCTTGGGCTATGACTAACTACCTGCCTCTATTTCCAGAGCTGCACGTGTGTCTGGCAAGCAGCAAGGAACACTCTATCACTACATCACGTATCTTTTCCCCATGAGGATTTAATAACAACCACCAAGTCACTTCTATTTTGTGATAGCCTGTAAATATTTAGCTTTTGATAAATTTTGTACTTTGATTTAAGTAATAAAACTGATTGATAATTCTTCTTACCAAGCAAAATGTGCATTTTATCTGCACCAAAGACAAAGCAAGGGGCATTCTGAGTTACATAAGTGGCAAAAAAAACCAAACCAGTGTTCTTTTTGAGATCGGTGCTGAACTTTTATGACTATTTTCTATTAAACGTTTCTTACTCTTTAAGTATTCCTTTCTGGTTTTGATTAAAGGTACAACTCATAAAAGCACAGGCTACTCAAGTTTCAGAACCAAATCCCTCACTGCTTTTCTCTGTCTTGAACTGAACAAAAGGAAAGTTGTAGGAAAAGAATAACGCCACGTCCTGGATGTGAAGGAAAGCCAAAACCTTGGAAGAAAAGAGGGGGAGACAGAACACTCCAGGAACTTAGCCAAATTTTTAAAAGACTCCTGTGAAACGTTTTATTGTAATTTTATACACTGCTTAATTTCTGTAATGTACAAATACGCGATTTGGGGGGTGTGTGCATCATGTACTATTTACAAGACTTCACCACAATGTCAGGGATTTATAAAAAAAAAAAAAAAAAAAAAAAAAAAAAAAGAGTGAAGTCCTAGGAAGACTTAGCCTAAATGCCAGGTAAGTAAGCACTGTCTTTCCATTGTGTTTGTGCCCCAGGGCACGTCTCACCTGTAAGGCTGTAGCCCGTTAGGAGGGTGCAGGGGCTACATCACCTCTATGAGAGGAGCAGTTTGAACCCACTGGTTCTCCTTCCCCGGCTCTGTCACTGGATCGTTCTCCTGTTCCTGCCAGAACTTAGATAAGCGAAGCCACATCCAGAGCAAGACTTTTATTCCGTTTAATGTCTTGTTTTCTCTTTTCTTTTGCCTTCCTTTTTTGTCGTTTCTTCGTTTTTCTCTCTTTTTGGCAGCTTGGAAGACTTCACCTTTTTTTGCTGCAAACAGAATATACAGACAGTTAAAAATCCAACTGCAACCTGACAAAAGTGTAAGTCAAAATGTATTCAGTGTTAAAAGAAACCCAGAATACGACCAAGTTTTGGCATTGGATGCCCTATTCATGAGTTTACAGTGACGTCTCACTTGGGCCTAATATTCAAGCAGAAGGCAATGGATGGAAATAACTGGTAGTAGTGTGAAAAAGTCTTAAGTTAAGATTTTAAAAGTTGAGAGATGATATATTCAATATCTACTATGAAATAGAATTTTTTTCACTCAGATGATGTTACAAGTCCCAGAAAGGTAACTAAAAACAAGAAAAGAGTTTAGTGTGATAGTTTAACACTGAGGAAACTTAAGTCACCTTAATCATCGCATCACTTTCAACAGATTCTTGCTCATCCTCATCAGACTGGATCTCTTCCACAGTCAAGTCTTCACTCAGTTCTAAGCTCATCGCAGATCCCGACTGCCTTTTAGATGTTTTGACAGAATGAAGCGAGTATGGAGTCAGATGTGCCTCTTTGTTGTAGGCACGCGTAAAAGCTGCTTTGACCTGTTGGGGTGGAAGGAAACATTATGAGTATCAGCTCAGGAAGCGTAGATTGTTAGCTAGCCAACTCTTGGCTAGAGATTCCACATCATCTTTCCTTCAGGAAGATGGGACCAAAGAGTTGTAGAAGAGGACACTCTCAAAAGGACACAGAGAGCAGCTAAGAGCTGTGTGGTGAAGGCTCATTTTAGATGGGTCTCGTACAATCCTCAGACAGACTGCGCATCTCCAGGTGCTTCTTGCTTGGGCCTCCAAGAATTTCAGCACGGTTCTGCTGCCACCTAATCCAAGTCACTCACACCAAAGCCACCCTCAGCAGCACTGAACACCTGCCACACTGGAGCAGCCTCTTCAGACCAGGTGCAAACACACACCTGACAGTGTAAGTTTAGGTATCAGTAGAGGAGATTCTTCTCTTTTCCTGAGCACCCACCCTGAGATGGGGGAGGTGATGGTTCAGATCTCCCACCTGCCTAGTTTGTAGCAGAAACTTGAGCTCAAGCTCCCCTTGTGCCAGGTGAGGATCCCACCCACTGAAGGGGCATAGGTAGATACCAGAGAAGCACCAGAGTCCCCCCAGGTCTGGCAGTTCAGCCTAACTGGGCTGTAGAAGACAAAAGCTACAAGCCAGGCTCCTAACTCAGTGCCTACACAGTAACAAATACAGTTGTGTCCCTCCTCCTCTGCACGGTGGTAAGAAAGGCAGCGTGAGGCACGAAGGTGATAGAGCTCAGAGCCAGGACCTTGCTTCTGGAAAGCAGCTGCACCAACTTCAGCCTTTCAGCAGCACATCGATACCACACGTTAGTCTAGGATTTCTTTTTAGAGCTATGGAAGGAAAAAATCACTAGTAAACTTTACCTTGGGATCCAGCTTTGAGAAAGGACTGGGTTTGCCTCCCCACGTGCTTATTTCCATGATATTTTCAATATCTTCTTTCATCAAGCAGTAAGAGTCCATGAAGGTTATAGCTTCTTGTACACCCTCTGCCCCAAGGTCTTTCAAGGGCTGGACAATCGCATCCCGCAAATACGGCAGATACTCCATGTTCACTGTCCTCTTGCACGTCTGGGTTCTGTGTCACATTGAGAGCAGGAAGTCAATCCGTGCAGCCACCACCGCCCGCTTCTAAGCACAAGGAGCCTGTAGGTAAGGCCCTCAGCAAGTAATTAATTGGCTGCCTTAAGAGGTAACTGCAAGCTGTGCTGTGCCATTCCTTCTGCCCTCCCTGCCTCGGGGTAACCCACAGAGCTGTTCACTCAACAGTCTGGGGAAACACATCCCAAACTGAGAAACAACAACTTCTGGGGGAGAAAAGAGAGTCACAGTACTGCTGACTATGCTAAAAGTGTGTTTACAGTCTGTCTGTTGTCCAGATTAAGCCCCCAAAAAGTGTCACTAACAACATACAAACATATTGACAGAATATACACTTAAGTTTGTACAAAGCACAGCAGGAATTAACGATAGGTAAATGAGCTACGTAAGAACCAAACATGCGTATCGCTAGGAGGAAGGCGGGTGAAGACGACTGTCAGCACTACCTGAGACTCATGTGCATTGCCAGTTCTTGAATGATCCGATCGTGTTTGCCCGTGGATGAAAATTTCCCCAGCCAGCTGGGAAAGACAGGAAACTGGGACATGTACCCTCTCATCAGCTCCCCCGGGAGAACACTGGCATAAATAGCCTGAAAAAGGAACACACGTGCCAAACTCAACTCACACCAGATCAGTCTCACTGACACCGTGACACACTGCCCTACTTGCCTGCACGAAAGGGGGTGGTGAATCAGTTCCACAGTGGAAACAGCTTGTTTTAAGAGAGCTCTTGTCTTGGTTGCTTGTTTCTGTTCAACCCTTTTTTAGGTTACAGCGTCACCTCTTGTACCACCCTATTTGTCACCATGTTCTAAAATATCCCTGAGATTATCTGAGTTTTAAAAGCCATTTAAAAAAAAAAGAAACACCTGTTCATTTCCCATTTTTCCTCATTTTAGAGTGCAGTCAGACAGCTGACTTCACACAAATACATGCTGTAGTCTCCAGCAGATGGACACAGTGAAGGAGACATTTCCGAAGAACACCATGGATCTACACAAACTCAGCCAGATAAATTCCTGAGCAGCTCATCTTTTTGGAGCTGCACTAAGGAGCGAGGTGGGCTAGGTGACCTCCAGAGGTCCCTTCCAATTTAGTCTATGAAACATTCTCTGATGCCAGTCAGAATCTTTAAGCACAAGTCTTGTCAATGTTTCAGTATCATTAAAAGAAGCACAGTGCTGGTGCTTCAGTCCTCTGGGCTTTGAGAGAAACACTGGCCTGGCGAGAGGCTGGGAGAGGAAGCACATAAATAAAACTGAGTAAGCTTGTAACCCACAGCAGAAGTGACCGTGCTCCCAGGCTCCATGAAGGGTCAAGCTTTTCCAAGTTTCAGAAGACTTCATCTCATAATACAGCATGGGTTCAAAAATACAAGTATGGGAAACACCAACAGAACAGAGAATGCCACGTGAAGTATGAACTACACAGGTCACAAGTCTATACTGAAACATCAGTTTCAAGGGGTCAGTCTTTTACACTGGACACCCAAAAAGCACATAAAATGAGCATTAAGTGCTCACCTGTGTTGGAAGAAGATTCCAGTTTTGCTTGCTACGAATCTGTTTGTCCACTATATCACCATCACATATACTATCAGCTGCTCTACTCAAGAGCACCAAGTGCTTCTTCAGATTTCCTCTGGAAAAAAACAAAGTTGACCATATTACAGAGCAGAAATACCCAGACAGGTTTCAGTCTAGTTTTACTCCCTGAGACAAAAGCCCACGTCAACTTAGGTTATGGAATAACTCACCCAGCAGCAGCTGGTTTCACATGTACGTAGTTCTCTTGGACAAAGAGAGGTGCTAGGGAATAATCATGGAAGAACAGATCCGATTTGTCTATAAGAGACATACGAGAAGCCTCCTCTCCTGTAGCAAAAACCTTCCGGACGACGTCAAAAGGGCCCTAAGTAAATGATAATTCAAGAAGTCAGTGTGTTGCAGGTCCACACAAACAGTAAGCCACACCATTACCTTAGTGATGGTACCCAACAATATCTGGACTCATCAGCACAAGTTCAGTATCTCCTTCCTAACACCTCATCCATTTTGAGAACTGAGTTTTACCTTTGATATTAAGAGAATTTTCTCTTCAACAGAGGACTCGGGCTGAGAAGCATAAGCTTCATCATTACATCTTACAGAAGAGAGCAGTACATCAAAATATATACTCAGTCCTGGATTTATTGCTCTTCAACTCTTTGTTGAGAGCTCCCTGCATCTGGGCTATCAGCACTTTAGTTCCAAAGTTGCTTAAAGCCCAGTGATGATATCACAGTGTGACAGTAAAAGTCAACCCAGTATTGTACACTTACCAGTTTGATATCCTTTTTGGCTCTGCCGGCATCTGTTTTAGCCTCATCATAGGTCAATGATTTATCTTTTGCACACCACATATTCAGATTATGTAAAACCTAAAGAACAAAATTGACAATTTGGTAGCATAAGAGCATTTAAATGGAAGACTCGATCAGAAAACAGTCTGATCACTCTCTATAAAAATAATAATACCGTTCAAATACTACACTGGCGTCAAGGACTTGTAAATGCCGTGCTCTCTGAATGGACACTGATACTGAGAACAGTCTGATCACTCTCTATAAAAATAATATTGTTCAAATACTACACCAAAGTCAAGGACTTCGGTGCTCTCTGAATGGACACTGATACTGAATTGACACTGACCTGTCTGATGTCCTGATTTGCTGCCAGGATTATCTCTTGCATAGCAGGTGGTGGAATTTTTAAACCTTCTTTAAACGCAATAGACATCATGGCACCCTGTAACGCACACAATTGAGAAACTCTCACTAGAGAATTCCTACCAATTCTTTCCCCTCCACATTGACATATTGATGAAAAAGTATTACTGTATTTTTCTAGATTTTTAAAGCGCGTATAATTTAAGTTTCCTTTAATAAACATAAGTAATCCTTTCCCACTGATGTAAAAAAAAACACCAAACCTGCATGACCGTTACAAAAAAAAAATTTGGATAGAATTAAGATAGATTTCTAAATCTGAAAGGCTTTGGTATGAAAAATGCAGAAAACCCATTCTGAAAAGCAGAGTTACTCACTGAGGTGATCCACTAAGTTTTAAGTGTTTAAGTTTCCAATTCTGTATCCCTTCTGCCCCGTGAAGGCAGAGGTTACTGAGGGTAGTTCAGTGCAGCCCATACAGCCACAGCCACCTTACCTTAATCTGCTCCAGACGAGGTCTCTGAAAACGAAGATCAAAACAGTAGTGGACCAAGGAACGAATTTTAGGATGGTTGCGGTCGTTACACATACAGATGATGGGTATCTTTGTGTGTCTAATCAAACCAATCAACTCCTGTGATTTAAACACATTACAGTAACTCCATCAGCTAACTCGGAGAGTAAGAATGATTCAAGCGTCACACCAAGCAGCATTAGTCCCTGCCTTCAATCAGATCCTTCACAGATGCAAGTCTATAAAACTCTTCCTTCTGTAGCCATGTTTCCACACAGTGAAAACCTAGTCCCTCCCCGACTCTTTCCACTTGCTGTTCTACTCAGCTACAATAAATCTGCGGCCCATCCACTTCCAGCAACCACGTTTAGACCGTTCTTCATGAAGCAATTAAGATCAATAGCCCAGAACAGAGCTGTCCACCTGCAGGACTGGTTCAGTTCCACCTGCCCTGTGCCCAGGGAGCACACCCCTTTCTGACTGCACTTGCCATAAACAGTGATGATGCAGGAAGTAAAGAGATCAGCTCTTCCCTGCCCAAATTGCTCAACCCTGAGGCTTCAGCCTCCTTAGGCTCTACCAGAACAGGCTCCACCTGCTCTAATGAAGGTGAAAGTCAGTTCAATTTCGTATTCCTGCAATGTAAATGTCTGCATCTGAGCTAAAGATCTGCAGCCTGCCTTTACTGTCAAAGGCTGTATGTTACCACAGGAAGTCTTCAGAAGCTAAAACTGGAGCTGCTAAGGAGAACAGAGGACAATGCTGCCTTTGCCTCACTTTTTGTTCAAAGTTACTGCCTGCTGAAGAGAGCTACAAACCTCCCACTGCAGGCAGATGTCCTGTAGGTGCACAGACCTGAGGATACATTCACTTGTCCAGGAAGAACCACGTTAAGTGTGCACACCCAAGTTAATCACTCCTGGTTTCTTTTACAGAAATATTCTGCCCCCCCTCTACCAACACATAATTCTTCTTACATAAGGACAGATTTCTAAAATAGGTCAGATAAACCGTACGCTACAGAGACCTTCTATGGACCTTGGCCTGGGGACAGCAGACTGGCTTGAAATACTTAGTGCTGTATCTGGTATGCACTCTTAGCAACGGCATTAGCTAGTAACTATAGCAGTTTCACCTGAATCCCTCCTCTGTCTTCATTGCCTGCCATACCATCCACTTCATCCATGATCAATACATGCTTCCCGCTAACTGATGAGGATGTGCCTGAAAATGAATATGGACAAGAAAATGAGATGGGAATAAAATAGGGTCTTGCATAGAGTTTTACCCAATGCTTTACAGGTTAGGTAAACCCATGCTAAGTCAACTCAGGTGGTGGGCAACCTCTTGCTCCACCACTTGGTCACATCAATCTATGTTCACGGAACAGAGCTGACCATAGCCTCATGTCATCTTCTAAGAAACAAGTCCCATGCAACAGAAGAGCAACTGCGGAGTTCTTCAGTAGTTTGTGCAGATTAACAACTGCTTCTACTAATAGCAGGATTTAATTCTACAACTGAAGATGAAATAAAACAGCTTACTAAATGAAGCCATCCCTATTAGAGCCAGATCCCTCCACGTGATGAGCAAGTTAAATTCCTAATACTGTTGTGTAATGAGGAAGCTCTGTCCCTCCTGTAACCAGACTCTTCACACAACAAGAATTCTCCCTCAAACAGCAGACGTACCCGAGCAGAACTCTTTGATGCTGGTGTTGTTCAGCGATTCAGCAACTACTTCCTTTAGACTGTTCTTACTGCGAGTGTCACTGGCGTTCAGCTCCACGTAGCTATACCCCAGTTCCTAGTCCAAACACACAAACCACACAAAAGATGAGAACACTGATGAGTGAAAGAGCACACACATACTCAGAATTAGAAACAGTATTTCAGAGTTCCAGAAGAAAGATCTTATAACATCATTTTCCCTTTAATTTGTGGCTTTGATTCCTTTGTCCCCTTATACCTTTTTCTCTTGCACTCCAAAAATATTTATAACCAGACAAGGAACAGATATGCCCAAAAGAGAACTTGGGGGATGGAGAAGGAGAAAAAAAAAAAATTATCAAAAACAGTCAGTGGCACAGATTTAGTTCTGAAGGATTAACAGAACTGCCACCAGGGATAGAAACAGAACTAGGAGCCAAGGCTGCCTAAGCTCCATGGTATTTCCAGCTGCATATCAAAGTCTTTAATGAGCCAGGACAAGAAATGTGCCAAAGGAAAGAGCAGCTTTTAACTATTTAATAGCTAGAAAAGACCTGGCTGCCCCAGCAGTCCTAACACTTCAGAACGGGGCCGGGCTGCATGTCAATCCCTGAAGGAATTGAACCCAGCTGCTCCTTTATAAGCCAACTCCCCTGCCAGGGGCATGCCACGGCACAGCAGTGACCTGCACACAGCTTGGCTCTTGCAGCTTCAACCACCCCACTGTGTTGGCACAGTGAAGTGCTCTGCAGACCTGGAGCAGCTGTGAACAAGTCAGACTGGAAACCAGAAGCAAGACAAGACCACGTTAGTGCACAAGCGAGACCAAGGCAGCACCATCCGGCTTTTCTGCAGGTCTGGTTTTCAGGGGGTGGCATCAGCTTGTTGGCACAAAGCTCTAAGGCAAGGGGAAGGGGAGAATTGGGAGTCACTCTACACAACTCAAATATTGAGGTAAGTAATCATCCCTTCCCAGCACAAAGATCAGGTAGCTGACAATAGTTCTCCACCCTTCCAAGCTGGTGGTATCACATTCTAAGGAAGTTCTTGCAAGTCAAAGAAGAACAGAAAAAAAATAAAAAGATCTGTAACTTGATGCAACACCACTATTAATAAATTCCCAGCTGATTCTCCTGACAGTTAGTGGAACACAGCGTTCCAGCTAAGTTAGGGAAAACTAATTTCCAAATTCAGATTTAGAAATGGACACACAGTCCTGTCAACTCTCATCCTCAAGTAGCATTTGAATTTATAACAAGTCTGGGAAAGATATCTTTAAGATACATAAAACCCACAAGCGAGTCTGTCACACAAACTTTCAAAAACCTTGCCAGAATTCAAACCCCACAAAACTTAGTGCAAACGTTCTCCGACTTGTTGAACTAGTGTTAAACACTATTTTTGAAAATCATTTCCAATTGCTCAACATACTGTGACATGTCTCCTCTCAATACAACAGAAAGAAATGCAGACACCCTTTGCTATATTCTCACCCCAGATCTGATAAAGGCATCTAAACATATATATTTTCACCCATAACCCTGTTCTCAGCAGGTGGAACCAGGCTGGGAGCAGACCCTGGTAAGTGAAGGGATATCCAGCTGCACTCTGTATCTGTATCCAGACACGGCATCGATACATGACAAACGGTGCAGGGAACAACTTGTTAATAACAACTCACCTTACAAACCAAAGAAGCTGTAGTAGTTTTACCAACTCCAGGTGGACCAGAAAGTAATGCTGCTTTAAAACCAGCACCATCATCTTTGCCTCCAGTTTTATTGGTCTTTGCTGTAAAAGAAGATTCCAGGTTTTACCGAGGTATGTATTACAAAACAAACTGTGTATGTCACATAAATCTTTACCAGTATCAAGCATCACTGGAGTTTTTCCTCATTTAAGGCCTGCCTGATGAGAAAAATATATACCCATCTGTATCCTAACCTTTTGGGGAAAAGCTGCTTAAACCATCTTAGATTAAGACTTTGAGTGATTCTAAACTGAAAAATAGCAAAAGTGCTATTAATTTCTGCATTTTGTTCAAAACCACATCATAAAAAAACAACTGAAAAAACCCCAAACCAAAGCAACACACACACCACACAGGAGAAACCCACTCCAATAGCAGTGAAGCTTAAACCCTGTTTTAACCACAGACAAAAAAACATGTTTAGAGGGTGACACACTACACCTGACACGGGCTTAATGCCATCCCATATTTTCACTGTGTCTACAGACAGGTTAGCACTGGCCAGCACTTCTCTTGGCGAGAAAGAATTCACTAGGCTGAGTATGAGGCAAATTTTATACACGTTACTAAGTTATTTTGGTTTCTTTTGGGAAAAAAAAAATTAAAAAAAATCACATTTAAGAATACCCCAAGATTTAAAAAAAAGTATCTTAACAGTTTGCTTTCCTGGGTCAGGAGGGAGAGGGGGTGGTAAATGAACAACTGCTTAAAGAAAAAAAAACAAGCAACAAACCAACAGACAAACAAACCCCACACAAACAAAAAATCCCCACAACACCCCCCACACTCAGGCTCAACCCCTGCTACAAAAATTGCATCTGGGTGCAGCCTCATTCCTGCTCTGGAGCTGCTCTGCCATCTCAGAGAGCCTTATCGGCCCAGGGGACCAAGCAGGGTGACTGGGACAGAAAAACAGAGAGAAGTTGATGTCACTGGTCACCTTGTCCATCTTCCGAGGAATTCTTCTGCCAATTTCGGAGCCATCGGAGCAGTTTATTGGCACAGCTTTGCTCACCCTGCTGTCCAATTATTGCCTTAAGAGACGAAGGCTTGTATTTATCTACCCACAGCAACCTCTCCTTTCCATCTTCGCTCATTTCAGAAGCCACGTTCTCCTTAGGTTTTGGGGCTTCTTTACTCTCTACAGTTTGCCGTTTGAAGTCCGTCAGCTTTCGGACAGCAGTGCTTTCTTTCTTAACAGATCTTATGGTATCCCCTTTTTCAGGAGTAGACTTATTTCTTTTATTATCAGCTTCCCTTTTGATGGGGCTAAAATTTCTTTTTCCAGCTTCAGCTTTCTGTGGTGTCTTTTTGGGTCTTGGCTCAGCTTTCTTTGCCTTAGGAATTAAAGGTAAGAAAGTTAAAGGGACATTTCAAAAAAACCAGTGCATTAAACAAACATGCTGTCTTTGAACACATATACAGGAGTACTTAAGAAAGTAACAAAGCTTATGTATCAATAAAAAACCTTCGAGATACCTAAAACACAAAATAATGTCAGAATGTAAAAATGGAAAGTGGCAAAAAACCCTAAGACTTCTGCTTGGGAGCTATAAATACAAATATAACATTTTCACATTCAATACTTTTAACCTAGAAGGTCAAACCCTTAATTGATTACTGTTAGTGGAACAGAAGACCAAAACTCCTTTCAATTAAAACTAAACCAAAAAAAAAAAAAACCCCAAACAAAAAGAACCCCATGGTTTATAATAAACAAACCTCTGTTTCAGCCGCCAGCTCATATTTGGACTTTTTGCCCGGCATAGTGCGAATGAGATCAAAGAGACCATCCTCATCAATAACTTTCGTCCCTAAAGCTGACGCCTGGAGCCAAAGAAAGAATTAAGAGTCAGGTCAAGTAGAGGAAGGAGTTACACAATTGACTTCAAGTGCTTTCCAACAAAGATGCTTAGGAACACAATAAAAACAAGGGTTTGTTTTTTTTTAATATACGTGTGTATATATAAATAACTAAAACAAAGCCCTAAAACATCAGGCAACTTTTCCTTTTCAACCTACACTTCAGTTGTAGGCACTACCTCCTTTTGGCAGAGAAACTGAAAACCAACACGGTTGGGTATAACAACTCACAGTCCCACTTCTACTTGGCTCAGGCACAGGAACACTCACCTTTTCACATTTCGATTGGCCGCAGTCTCGCCCCATAACCAGATAGTTTGTCTTCTTGCTGACATTGCCAGTTACTTTTCCTCCGTAACGTTCAATCAGAGACTTGGCCTCATCTCTTTCAATACACTCCAGGACGCCTGTGATGACGAACGTCAGGCCTTCCAGGCAGTTCTCAGCTCCCTGAGAACCAGAGCGTTGCAGAAAAAGTCATTACTCAGTGCAATTCTACCAAACACCTCTTCACCATCAACTTTTTTAACTTGGCCCTACCATGCCAAGTGCCCTATGAAACTTCAAAAACAAGCCTACATTACCTAGCTACGCAATAGCTCTAGAAGTTCAAAGGCCTTTAAAATGACCAGCTACCAACAAAACTTCACACTTTGCTCACGTGACCGATCGTACTCGTGACACTGTGCTTCAAGCACAGCATGTCAAAGGACAGACAGCTTCAAGACCAGTAACTATTTTTCATCATGACTTCAAAAGACAAGTACTGAATTTAACTTCTTAGTACATTTCCTTACATTCACTCACTGCTTTGCATTACAATTTAGCTTTTGCCAATACATATTTCTTATCTGAAAAAAAACCACCAGTTTTTAAATAGTGTAGTTGATACTTGCTAGGTTATTTATAACAGTTAAATCTATGACACACCCCACCCCTGTGCATAGAGCTCTGCTGTGGCCAGACTCACCTGAGGTATCTCTTTGGAACCCAGTGCTTTGGGGCCCTCGCGATTCAGGAAGCTGCGGTAGGCTTGGTAATTGCTTCGCTTCTTTTCAGAGTCCTCAGGACTTACAGACTTGGGAAGGAGGGGGGAAAAATAAAATTAATACACATACTACGTATAGAAAAAAACCAACAAAATAAACTCAAGCATCACAGTTTAAGATATTCTTATGCATCAAAGGGAAAGTAAGTTCTAACTTGTTTTTAATCTATTAACATGCAATTCTGAAGCTTGTTCTGGTTTTGGTGCTTGTGTTTTGAGAGGTTTGGGGTTTTTTTTGTTCTTTTTAAAAAGATTTCCAAAACTCACCCGAGAGTTTAAAAATAAAACAAAACACCATTGTTTATTGTCACATTTCTGTTGATTCATCTCTATTCCACACATACGTGCTCATTTAATTCATAAGTTGTCGCTTTAAATTCACATCCTATTTTATTTCAGAACTATGATCAGGTATAGACAGGATCTATACTTACATAAAGTCTAATTCATACTATTTCTACGTTTAAGAAACATTTAAGCTCTTTAATAAGTAAAAAAATATTTAAAATTAACCCCCAAAAAGCTGCAGGCTCTCCCTCCCAAGTACAACTGTTATTTAAGTGTCAAAATTGGGTCTTTTATGCTGTACAATTAAAAAGTATGGTTTGAGGATGCCAATAAGTACCGTATTCAATAGTTGCAGTTACTGGTATCAGACAGTTAAAAGAAAACTATATTATATTCCCACCATAAGAAATGTACTTCAGAAACAGGAGACTTGGGAGGGAGAAGGGAAAAAAAACCCCAAGCCCTATTTGCCATTCTAATAGCAGTACAGATGCACAAGGGCACCACGCTCACACAAACAGCAAGCTTTCGCCTACTCACTAAGTGTCAGAATTTCCTGAAAAAATGCAGAATGAGGGAAGTTAAACATGAAAAAGCACTGAACTGATTTTGCAGTGTACATGCGTACCTTAAGGAGCATCAAAGAATTCTTGGTTGCTTCATGCATTTAATTTACATTTTTCCAGCTAATTATTCTCCGATACTTTTACAATTGCTAAGAAGTTAAAGCCTGACCAGAATTCAAAGTCTTAAAAAGATTCAAAGCGCCAAGTTACAACAGTGACACATAAACAATAATAAATAGAAACTGTTTTCCTGCAGACCTCACCAAGCCAACTAAATTCATTTTGACAGCTCCTACCTCACTCTTCTTGGGGGAAATTTTCTCCTTCTTTGGTGTTGTCTTCTCTTCTTTCCCTGAAGCAATTTTTTCTTTTGATACTACACTTCGAGCACCTCTTTCCTTTTCAGCAACTTCTTCTTTTTGTTTCAGAGACACGAGCTTAGCACTGGGTTTCAAAGGCAACGTCTTCTCCGTCAACTCTCTTGCTGATTTACCATCAGATTGTGGGAATGAAGGAGACCCTTTGGAGTGTTCAGATTTAGTCTGGTGCTTTGCAGTGGAATTCTTTGCTTCACCTGTCAAATGCGTTGCTTTCCCTTGAAAGGAGGCAGAGGGAAGAGAGCACATACATAAGAACGGATCTCATTAATATTATAAATCGGTGAAATGTCTTCTGTATTCCATGTCCTACCTCTTTCAGACTGCTTATATCTTTCTGTCACGTTAGGACTGCTCTTGGTGCTCAATACTGTTTGTTCTCCTCCTGAATCTTTCCGAGCCTAAATAACAATGGCAAAGTCAGAGATGTGTGTCCTGAGCTACTATTAAGACCAGATCCCCGAGTCTCCCCACTGTTAAGTACAACAGACTGAATGACATCTAACAAAGCTCATCCCTACCACAAATCAGAACACAGTCTCCATCAAAGGCAGGAGAGCAAGTTCTGTGCTCAGCAATGCACATAATTACTCCCTAAGTCACAGGCCAGACACACATCCAGGTTACAGTAAATTCTGGTAACAATCAGTTTACTGATTAGTGCAGAAGTACTAATATATTCAAATTAACAAACCTAAATTCTATGAGGCTTGATGTACAACCCAGAAGATATTTCACTGTGCCTTACACCACACACTATGAGAACTGGGAAGACTCCCCCTGCTGGGGTTGTTCTCAAAACTCTCAAGATCCCTGTTTGCCCCTTCTCTCAGAGCAAAGAGAGGCCTCTCTTCCTTGATCTGGTCCTCCTGAACCAGAGCTACAGCTCATCGAAAGCTGAGTCTTCGGTGACACACTTTGCTCAGTAAGAACTAGAAAGTCCCATTCCAACAGAAATGGATAGCACAAAGATACCATGTTGTCTGCTGGCCGACTAGGAAGGACACTTACGTACTGAGTGAGGAAAAGCCAGCAGGAAAGTATGAAAAGTACGTTATTTTTTATGCAAACACTCTCTTGCCGTTTTGAACATGTTTTTATGGAAGTCTCAAAACAAAGGTTAGGCATCTAAGTAAGAACAGGCCTAGCAACTCAATTTCTCAAAACTGAAGTTTAAAAAGTACTCAACCTTTTTCTTCTGCGGTGTTTCATCCAACATAGCCAAAGTTTTAGCAAATTCTTCATCTTCATGCAGCTGTCTCTCCAGCTAAAAGGAAAAAAAAAGAAAGATGATGATTTTTAGGGTTGTGTCAGACAAGTTTTAACTCCATTATAATTCTTTTAAAAATCAAGACAAAAAGTTTATCTGAAATAAGACAGCTGGAAAAAGCACATCCTACCAGAGGCAGATGAATTTCTGGAAGTGGCCCTGAAGAATTACTTGTTTGTCCCAAAGAGAGAGACTGAAATCTAGCGAAAAAAGTTGGGTTTGGATTTGTTGCACTAGAAACATTAATAAGCCTGTATAACCTGTTTTTAAAGAGATTTTCTGTTCCTTCATATTTTCTATTGTTGTGTATCCTTTCCATTTATTAAGCAATCAAAATTTGAAGGCAGGATCTCACAACAACCAGCTTGTACTAAGATGCAACCTGTTGGCTTCAGAAAACTTCCAAGAGCAGGAACAATGCCTGCAAAGTATTATGATGCCACAATAATGAATGTTCTATTCTCCTTTACTGGTAGCAAGATATCATATGAAAAAAATGCTGATCAGTTCAAATGAAAGACAACGCTCTGTTTTTCCTGACAGATTAACTTTCTAATAGACTGAAGAGTAAACAGATTAATAAATTAAAGACAGATTCATCACACCTCTGAAGAGGTCAAGGATGAGACTAAGTTTTACATGCACAAAGAATACTCAATATTACCAGTATATAGGAAATGAACTGATTTTCCCAAAAGCAGTAAATATCTATGACAAGTGCACCTTTCCCTCATATTAGTCCTCATTCAAACAGGAAAGTTTAAGACACACAGAAGGCTCATTCACATTTTTCTCAACTATAAGAAAACTCAGATGACAACAAGCAAAGCAATCAGGGATGGCTTTTAGTTTTTCAGCCCAGGGAACGAGAATTAAAAGACAAAACCAAAAACCACACACAACTAAAACCATGAGGAAGCAGAAAGTGAATTCCGTGTGAAAAGCTGTATTATTGTAGACACATCAACTGTGCACGGTAGAGAAAATCTGAACAGGCGGAAAATAGATGAAGTGAGCTGTTCTATTTACATAACTGAAATAACGCCCACAAAAATAACTGCGTGACTGAGTTGGCACATGTGTGCAAAAGTTAAGTATACAGATTAATTTTATTACACTTATGTACAGCATACATGGAATTCCATCTTAAAATTGGTTTTCTTTAAGAAATAAGTTAAACAAACTGCTCTTGACATAGAGCAACAAATTTATAGAGCTTTTACCTCTGAATCTTCTTCAAGCTGCAGTTGCCTAGCAATGGCCTCATCATCTACTGTGCTGTCTCTGCTTTGTGAAGGCTATGTTTAAGATAAAAAGACCAACAGTTCAGTTTCCCAATATTGTGTAGATTATTATAATTTAATCTGTACAGATTCATTTTGTATACTTCTAGAAAAGGACTGGGAATGAGACACACAGCATTTTATTCCTAGCTCTCCAACCTAAACACTATTAAACGAGGCTCTTTTCAAGAGGTTTTATTATTCAAAACAAAACCATGCTATAACATAAATATCTAATTTCTTCAAACAATGCTGAACATCTCTGAAGCTACCACAGTTGGCCAGCTGGAAAGAGAAAACAACTACATTATGAATTTTTAATTTCCTCCACACTTTATTTGGTGCTTTGTTATTCCATAAATGTGTGTGCCATAAAGCTTGGGAAAACAACCTCCTTCCTCTCCCACCTGCCCTCCACCCCCAGCTATAAACTATCCCACCCACTCACTCGTCTCAGAAAACTACTTAAAATTAAGAAGTCACTTAAAGAGCAGCAATAGAGAAAATACTACTTTCAACTTTGTGCTATCTTCTCAAACATGGAAATGCTATTTTAAAGTTGCATTTAAGGACTTGATATGCCTGCACATATCATTAGAATCGAACATGTACTTGTGTGAGCATTAAAAATTAACATTAAGCAGGACAAGCATTAAGTACCTCCTTGCAGTCATCAAGCCAGCCATTTTGATCTGCTATCAGCCTTGTGAGCAGACTAAAGGAACACCATCAGTACTCACCTCTTTCCTTTTACTTGCTACCAGTTTCTTTTCTGATCGTTGGACACTACTTGTCCCAAAGTAATCAAGCGCCGAGGTGGGAGTCTGTTTCACTGGAGATAACGGCTTGCTTTTAGGTCGTGGTTTCACATCTTCCTTTTTCACTGTAGTTGTTCCTGGACAACCGATCGTTGATGTCCCATTCTCCTTTGGTTTCAGGGAAATTCTTTTATTGACAAAGTCATCTTCTTCATCTAAACATGAAGAATATACTAGTACTTCCGATACATGGAACTTAAGTTCTTATAACAGAGTTGTTTTGGCAGATTACATCAACTCAGAATCTAAGAAAACATTACAGGTGTTTAGAACTTATTTGAAAAAAAAACAAACAAAACCAAACAACAAACCCTGAATTGCATAACACTTCATATTTAGCACCTTCAATAGCATAGCTTGAGTCTGAATAGATTGAGCACTGAGACACATAACATTTGTTAGCTGTGTTCATACATTACCTCTCATTTACAGAAGTACGCAAAGAACACCTTCCCTTCTTATACACTGAGATTTTAACCCTCTCCTTAATTAACATGACATCAAATTGAAGAGCACAACCCTTCCTTCATATAAAATGTGAAGTACAAAGCTACACTTATTTTATTACTTCATAGTATTCATTAACACAACAGCTAACATAGGCTTTATAGACTTGTATATTCTTAAGAATCTCTATTACACAACAAACCAAGGAATATTAGAACAGTGTCTTCAGAAGAAGCTTCTTGAGTAAGCTTACCAGTGATTTGTAAAGTACTGATCATAGCTTATGAACGCTTTAGCAGAAACACTTTAACACCATTTTTTACTTTTTCACTCTTAGTTAGAGATTCTCTGAGCTATTCTACATCCTCTACGTTTCTGCACTTAAACACACAGCACAGTCAAAACCACCTCAAAGAAATGCAGCCATTTCACAGAACACAGAAATCAGAGGGAAGCATGCAAAAGAGATTTTTCAATTTAAAAGGAAAAGGAAAAATGGCATACACAGTCTCATTAAGAATTAGCCCACAGACCACTGAACAAAAACTCAATTTTTCCTTTTAGGATTCTTCTATAATAGTCAGGACATGGTCTTCCCAGCAATGAAAGAGAGGAAGAGGGTTTGATGGCTATTTATTCATTCTGGACTCTAACTCTTCACCTAGTCAATCAATCAACAAAAAAAGATTACCAAGGGCTTCAAAGGGGTCTGTGTCATGTCATGAAGTCTTGGTGACAGTTATACAAATGAAACCCTCTCACTGAAGCATACAAAACCCTACCGATACCATTGCAAAGGATTAGATTAATTTGACAGCACAGAAGACAAACATCACCGGGCAAACTTCTTGGATCAGTGACAAAAGCACTTTCTTTGTGACCTCTTCTGAAAACCTCAAAGCGTGCAAGGGCTAAGAAGCAAACTTCAAGAAAATCCCCCAAATGAACAATAGACATGGAAAAAATAAAGCGCGAAGACTCGAGAGGAAGAGAACCAGAGGCCGTCTCATTTGCATGCCGCTAACTGAACCCTGGGTTCACTCTTCTGAAAACAAAGATGTTTCAGACACCCCCTTCAACGTATCATAAACACATGAATTCAAATACCTGTTTTATAGCAGAATTTAAATTTACAGTATTATCACAAAAATACATTAATTTTCCAGTCCTTGCTAATTTAAGCTCCCATATTTCTTTTCATAAATAAATGTGCCTTCTTAATCACTTCCCCAAATTTAGATGATGCCCTATGTCTGTCATGTATAATTTTTGTTATATACTAGGCAGATATAGAGGGAAACAATCTTTTCTGTTTCACCTTTTCTCAACAGGTGATAGTAACAAGAGCATTTTGGCATGAGCTGGAACTTTACGCTACTGATCATCTACTAAGAAGAAAATAATAAGTACAAAGGGGGATTCTGACTATTCCCGGGAGGGAAAGCTCAGAGAGAAAGAGAAATAAAACAAAGCTACATCTGTAAGGGAGGAAATTGGTTCAGCAGTTAAATCAAGAATGCCTAAAGATAAAAAATTTATCTACAAGAAAGTGGCATTTTCACCAATTCAATTCACAAACAATATATGGAAGACAAAATTCAAGCCCAGGTCCCTCAGCTGACAGCAGCAAGTTTTACCACAAAGCTAAAAGCTTTACTATTCTCAACACAATTTACTTTCCCCAGGCAACAGGGAACCTCTTACTGCCATTTAGCTCAAGTTAATGAACTATTACGTATCTGGGCGATTTGGACACTGGCTCCTAATTTGCAGTAGCTTGAGGTCTGAATAGGAGATGGCTTATCTCAAACTTAATTTCAGAAATATTTTTGCTTCTTTTAAATTTTTCAGTTTAACAAGAAAATACATTTGCAGGAATAAAGTGTACCTATTGCTAGAAATCAACAGTTAATGTAGATGCAATTACATTTATTTGCCTTGAAAAGAAGATACACATCCTGTTCTGTCCTCCCTACTGCCAACTTTTCTTAAGCTAAGGACTGGTCCATGCTAGAAAAGACTCTTTACTCATAACTATTGTTATCAGAAGATCTACATGCAATATTGATTTTTTAAAAATTACTCACTCATAACTATTTAAATAACAAAGAAACAACAGGATATCACTTTCTCTTAAGTAGAAGAAAGCAGAGTAAATATAATTAGGTTTTAATTAAAAAGGATGTGCATTTGAGTCATTTATGATACCAGTACTACGCATTACCAATAATTAGAGCTTTGCTTTAATTATGTCCTTCCTAGAAACGACAGGATTAGAAGCATGTATTGACTGCAAGCAGTAGCTGATGGAGGACAAGAGACTCACAGCACTTATGAACAGCTGTCTACAGAAGTAAATAAAGAGAAGGCAGAACGAGAACATGAATGTGGTCATTAGGAAACAAAACCACCCAGCTTCTATGTAGTGGGTTTCAAAAGACACTCTAGGGGACAAATACTCAGGCTACAGTTTCATCCCAGGTTCAGGAAATTCCTAAGTACAGCACAAATTTGCAAGATCTCTGGAAACTCCCCTTATTTCAAGTAATTATAAACATCCACTTTTTCTGTAACATGTTAAGGCTTCTTCCTTGAAGCAAACCCTGCCTACTGCTACAGAACAATTGAACAGCAAAGTTCATCAGGTCTACACTTGCAGCTTCCTTACAAGCTTGAAGGTGACTTCATTTACAACTTTGAAAATATGAAGAGCCCTAGTAGTGCTGCTCGACTATTCGGGTCACGGTTTCTCAACACATGATCTGTAAAAGGAGAGAGACCTTCTCATTCATACGAGCAAACCAATAATTGGGGGGGGGGGGGGGG